GCATAATTGCAGAAATTCACGGGAAGTTTGAACATTGGAACACGAATTGTTTTACCCCGTGATCTTTAATTTGCTAAACAATTTTGTTATAAAAATGGCTGGTCTGAAAATTGCGTTAACACGAGGAATTTTGTTATTCGCATAAGAATATGGGTTTTAAGTATCGTTTAAGGGTAGGTTAGTGGAGAAAAATCGGTACGTGGATAATATTGTTGCATAAACATTCGGGACTCGAGATGCAAATCGTTCTAATAATCACGATGCATGGCAGGGCGCAAAAGCGGGACATGGGTAACGAGGAGGACCTTGGCCCCCTACTCGTGTAACGATAAGCATTCGCGTAACGATAGGTACTCACGTATTACTCATGCGCATGAATTTTAACAAACCGTTCATTTTAGTTTGATCGTTTGTGCAGCTTCATTCGAGAAATTGCACGCATCCGCATTATTCGTAGAAAATTCGTGCAAACACGAATTTTTAATAAATATCCCTAACATTTTTCAAAAACCTATTCCCTTCTTTATTGTAACTTTAATTTGCATTAAACGCATTTCGAATAATTCTCGAAAAGTGAAAATAAACTTGTATGAATTTAATTTGCATTGAATGCATTTCACCCAATTCCTTCGAAAGGAGAAAAATACTTTTTCCATTTCACAGGTCTAATTTATATCGGGTATGTTTGTTCCAATCTTGTTGACAAATTAGAAATCACTATCTCCACGTTGCAAATCGAATTTGCGCGCAATGTGCTTAAAATAATTCTTAAAATAATTTTTTGAAGACTTTCTACTATAAATTCGACGACATTTTGAAATCAGTAAATAAGAAATCGGATAAAAATTAACTCCTAGAATTATTTTAACTCGACGTTACAGACATCGTTGCGTTATTTTAAATTTTATATAATAATTAAGATCGATCTTCGGAATTTGATTAAATGGTGACTTAGGGTCGCCCCCCGAGTGAAAAGGGTTAAGAATAATGACGATAATGATACTTATATCTTCTCGAAGTTTAATCGAAAATTCTTGAAAATACTAGCATCACGTGTTTAATATCTTGCATACAGATATTCGAAACGATTGTCGAGATAACAGGACCCTCCGTATTGGGGGTTCCCCGGAAGCGAGGAACAAATTGCGGATGCCAGTTCGGGCAAAGTGTTACTCCATTTGAGGACCAAGAGAAGGGTCATTCGATTAAGGTTCCAAGTTGATCATCGAAGGTGAGTCCGGTCAACTCGGCAATTGCACGCCCACAAAACATCGTTATTTCATTAAGCTTCGTCAATTTCCTAATTGACACACGATATGCTACTTCTTTCCGGTGATTCTCCACCCAAAATGGTGGCAATGCCAATGGTGTCATTCGCTACGACCGTATATAACGCGAAATTAGCAACTAGCATCGGTCATCATAGTCAACTGATTTAACCGGTGAACTAAATGACAAAGTGACATTCGCGTGATTTGCATTCATTTTACGACGCATTAAAGCTACCTGAAAATATGGCAAACTTTGCGGTCATATATATCCCTAATAGTAATTTATAACGAGTACTATTTATGTATCTTTTATATTACGATAAATTATATTGTAAATTAGAGATAGCCAATATTTTTTAAACGATTTGATAATTATAATATTAAAGCGTAGCTAGATATTTATATAAGAATGTTATATGTCATGATTTATAGATAATATCATAATATAGTCAGAAATTAAAAATATTTGTTATTTTTTAAAGTGGCACGATATTATTATTATATTATATACTTTCTAAATAACGTAATAATATTATAACGTATATTATTATATTAATATATAATTAATAAAAATATTATTATATTAATATATAATTAATAAAATTTCAGCACAACGATATACGGACCTACTTCAATATACACCCCTGGCGAAAGATGCGTACTGCAAAACATTTACACGTATTCCCAATGGACGTGCCGCAAAATTTCCCCTAGCTGTTTCCCTTTAGGACGTAACGATTTCGTAGAGGCTTCACACAACGAATAACAATGGTAGACCGAGATTATCTTGATTCGCGTAAATCGAGTACAAGATGTAGAATTAATTATGCATGGGCGCCTGACAACACGCTGTATTAAGTTAATCAGCATCTAAAAGACTTCCCAGTCTTACGATTCAATATTATGTGCTGGGTTTTCTCATCGCTTTGAGTCTAATGCCCCCGGACACCGAGGCCATTGTACAGTCTTCAACGTGAACATGTGCATGTTGGTGTATCTCTTAATTGTACGATTATTATTAGAGATATAGCTGATAGCTGTAACATTATTTCCAGATATGCTCGATAAAAGTAACTATCGCCTCTTTCTTGCAAGGCAAATCGCGAAATATATCTGATAAAAGAAAAATTATAAAACGCTATCCATTGCTACTTAAAATACGTTATACGCGAATTAATAAAATAAATGTTATTCGCCCGAGATTCATTTATATCGGATCTAACGACGTGCTTGTTTTCTATTGCACACTTTATCAACAAGTGCGTATTATCTTTTAAGCAAAAGATACGGTTAATTATCTCCATGTTTGCATTTATCTAAATCTCTAACATTATTTTTATTAGAGAATTTTTATAGCTTGTCTTTTATGGTTAAATACATTAAATTAATTAACCGAGAATATTCTTGTCGTGCAGACTAATACGACCAATCAATTCAGCAAATTATATCATAAGCCAATAACGTTCGCGTAACGTTCGATATACGACGAAAAGAACTGTCAAATCAACATGTCGTTCGATGCAGCAGTTCCCTCTATACGATAAATTCAAATCTCTTAAAACAATCCATAAACTCACACCCTTAACCAAGCGTTGACTTTAAGTGGGATATAAACACCGCTGTCAACGTAAAATACATAAAAGATATATTCCCTGTAGAAACAATTTCCCTTAGTTCCCTTGTCGAACGAGTCGTTTAACAAAATAAACAGTAGTGGTGAATGAGGTTAAACAGATCGCGGAAAGGGACGTGATTTTCTGACAGCGTATATTCACCAAGATGGCGAAACTCGTGTCCGACCAATGAGCTTCGTCGTGCTGCAGCGTTCGAGCTCGCTCGCGAAAATAACGTTACGTTTAGAATCGCGCGCATAACGTATACCAACCTGTTCGCTGCGTGACGTCGTCGTTCTGCTGCAGCTTGGTGCCGGTGTCGTCCTTGCTCGAATTCACTTGCACATCCGTCATCTTCCCGTTCGACGATTCCACTTTCGTCGGGGCGAGGATCCTCGTGTTTCGCAGTGGTCGATTTCCACGCACTGCTCGTCACGCCGTTATACGCGCGTCGCGGCGGGAATCGGTCGAAATAACGAAAAGAGACGATGCGATTCAGTGCAATGCAATAAAACTGGAAGACGAAACGCGCGACACTTGCGACGCGTTTGAACTGACTGGCTCGACCGCCGGCTTTCCGGGATCACCCGAAGGCCCCACGCCTCGCCATCGGAAATCGCCGAGCGTTTACGAACTCTTGCTGTTCGTGCACTTCTCAGGTGCTCCGTGCCGCGTCGCGAACAGACAGCGATTGCGGTCTATGCATCGCGCGTTCACCCCTCTAGTAAATAGAACGCTACCCCTGATTCTTTTAATGTGGAAAACGAACGTTCTTCATCCGCTATTACCAAAGGAAAATTATTATTTTAATCTTAGAAATTTTTACGATATATAATTACAAAAGCAATGGGAAGCTTCAAGGGATATTCTTGTAATCCGACTAATAAAACTCGACTTATTTAGCATTTTTTTTAAAGAAAACTATGTTACATTTTGGTATGCAGTTTTCGCAGTTAGATTTATTTATATTTAAAGAATATTTCCAATTTTTTTTGCGACGAAATTATTGAAAATTTTGGAAATTATATAGCCTTAGGTAAGTCGTGTTTTTAAAAACGGGCTCGAATGATTGTTATGATTCTGAATCATCTGTTTATCTGAAATGAAAAAACTAAAAAGCATTTCAATTAGTATAAATACGTCTAGAGTATAAATGATCGAAACAGCGAAATTTCGAAAATTAAAAAAATGGCGGCATTTTGAAACTTAAATATCGATTTTCCTCGTGCTTTTCGTACTTTGTGTGGTAAACAAAAATAGAAAAAAAAGCCAGATTTTAAAATCCGTGGTTCATACGATAAGGGTACATTTGTTGAAGATCTCCTCCAAATTTTGAGTCAATCCGTCAACAGAAACACGAGATATCCCATTAATAATTTAAAAAAATACGGTTTCGAGAAAAACGTGTTTGAAGTTTTTGTTACCCATTGTACAGTGCCTGTAAGCCGCAATTTAAACATCTATAACTTTGTTAATTTTACGAATTTGAACAAATCCTTTTACACAAACATTTTCGAAAACATATACTTTGAGAAAATCTAAAAAAAAAAAATTGATATTTTTTTTAAGCCGGATTACAAGAATACCCCCTTAAATCTAGCTAATCCTATTCTTAATGAAATTCTGGTCATTATTACTGTGGAATAAATTATTGGAAAATTGAAAAATAGAAATTACTCTTGCAATAGACTACTCTTTGTTTTTTCCCTCACTAAAAATTTTTTCAAATTAGAACTCGCATTTGACAATTTCGGGGGTACCTAAATAATGGAAAAGTACTATAAATTTTCATTGAATATTATTTATTATATTCCTGTCGATGTCGTATTTTAATTAAAACTTTAATAACACAGGTATCGCATTAAAATTTAATCAAAATGTGATCCCTCGTTGCGGATACAAAGTAGCGTGAAATTTGTCACGAAAGTTGTACTTAAATAACGAGACAGGGTGAGGAAGGGTGTATTATATTAAATTCTTAAAATTTTACTGTTATTATAGAAGTGATATCAATTAAAATAACGATTTCTCCGTTAATGTGGTAGTTTCTAATACGATTTCTAAATCTAAAAACGTGACAGATTCGCGATTTACACAAAGACACAGACCTTTTGGATTTGTACAAAACATGTTTTTATGACTTTATTTACATTACAATTATAATATCGTCAGAACATTTGAAAAGTCAGAACAATATACGACGTAGATGTACAAATCGGCGATTATATATCAAATTCTCCTGGAAGGCTGTGAACAACGTGAGACCTTTGGCACTGCTGGTTACGCGATGGGTACAGTTTATTAAAATTCAAGAATAAAATAACACCGATCTTTTCATTCAGTTTTGTACAACGTTAATATACATATATTAAGATATTATACAACGTTCTTATCATAAATACATATATCTCATGTCACAACGGTAAGTTCAACCGAACCGAGTAGCTAAGTATTTGTGCGTCTTTTGATCAATCTTTCCTCGTTATCTCTTTCACAGAAGTTCTTCCCGTGTGAGAAGGTTTTATCTCGTTTGCATTATCTCTTTTACCCGTTGTTGCTTTTTCAAACGACAGCAGGTCCGATTCAGAAATCGTATTTCGTCGTTTACATTGCGTAAAAATGTGAGAAACGCGGCGTTTGGTGGCCACAGAAGATTTTTAACAGGGGATGAGCGATGGGTATGACGAATGAAAATGTCTCTCGTTGACGTGGAGCTTGTCGATGGATGAATACCGACATTATGGTTGCCGTGCTGTCACTTCATTCGGCCTCCTCTTTGTCGCACAGTCTACGAAGGAACGCTAGAAACCAAATATTCCGATGTTAGTTCATTATGCCAGCGATTCGCGGGCCCAATGGGCCGCAAGTGTGCCCAATACGCAATTGCGTATTGGTCGTGCTCGGTGACCGATACGCAAAACATAAGCCATACTGAATATGGTAAGCATTGAGATAGTACGATGTGCAAAATCACGATGTCACGTGAAGTATTACACATCTGTAATTTCAATCTCGGAAAAGTGCTAAGCTCGAAGTGTCCCGCGGACACGTGACATTCGGATATATTGCGATGATGTAGACTTGCGAATTTCGTTGTTCATTAATATTAATAGAAAGCACCTGTAATTTTAAATTCAAAAAATGAACACTTTCATTGAGAGAAGTAGTGTAGATCGATTAATAGTACGGTTAATGTTGCCGCAACGAAACGCATGATTGAAACCACGCTTTCTCTTGGCTCGCAGAAATCCGTGACGTATGTAAATATCGAAATTATTGCGATTAACTCGGAATATTGAAACAATCAAATTTGTAAAATATTAATAGATCGAAATGTAATACAAGATATCTAAATTTTTGATATCAAAATATTAGAATATTGAATTAAAAATGTTTAAATACGAGGATACTAAAATATAATATAGGATACGAAAATTAAGAATTAAATTATTTTAAGTATATGTAGGTATCTTTATCTCAATCAATTAAAATATCAAAATTTTCGATATCAAAATATTAGGATATTAAATTAAAAATGTTTAAATATCAAGATACTAAAATATAAGATATGAAAATTAAAATATTAAAGAAATTAAAATAATTATAATATTCGGATATCTTTTAATTCAAGAATATGTAGGTATCTTTATCGTAATCTCTTAAAATATTAAAATTTTTGGTATCAAAATACTAGAATATTGAATTAAAAATGTTTAAATATCAGGGCACTAAAATATAATGTAAAATTCGGAAATTGAAATATTAAAGAAGTTAAAATAATTATAATATTTAGATATCTTTTAATTTAAGTATCAGTAGATATCTTTACCCAGAATTTAAATCACTAAATATAGAGTATACGCAAAATTTTAAAAATAAAATTCGCGAATGAACGCACCGCTGATCTATCTCTGCCGGAAGCGTTCGTTAGAAAAGTTACTAGAAATTGATAGAAGAAAAGACAGTATAATCGATCATAGCATGGCACTGTGAAGCACAGTTTGGTCGGGTATTCTTGTAATCGACGAGAACCTTAGAAAACGATTAAGGTTGAGGATCGTTTTCTGAAATCCCCGCCAACGACACTCTCGAGTCACGGATCTCATGCATGAATACATCTTAAGCTTTTGTACGTGTTGCTGTAAGAGAAGCAGGTTATCGATTTCAGCATCCCTGCCACGTAGATTCGTTGCGTCCTATAAAATATGACATGTGCGTGGTGAAAGAGAAGAGAGAAAATTGTGTTAGTTAACAGGTAGAACGAGGCATAGAGAAGAAGTAAAACGTGAAGGAGAGAAGACAGTAAAGCTCATGGAGATGTACACTACAGGGTGTACTTACGAAGGACGATCTTTGTGACACCGACATCCGGCTATTTTGCTTATAATAGCACCATCATCTTCTTCAAGAACGCTGTAGAACACAAAACACGTGGAAATGTTAAATGGTGGGAAACAGGGAAACGGGGCCCGAACGATCGAATCCTTGCGACTTCCTGGCCATTTTGGACGGCTGCGTAAAATACTCTAAGGGGTCTAAGCTACTGAACACTTTACTTTGGGAGAACAAAGGGGTCAATCTCGTGTTTAGATTTTCTACTACAAGAATTAACGTCTACATCGAACTGCTAAACAAACGCATATCTTTTCACTTCTGCTGCCCTTCCTTAATACTAGAACTACCGACCCCCCAAATGTGTGTCTACGTATAATCTACATAATTAATGATAATCAACCCTTAGCACTCGAAGCTTTTCTTTATTAAATTAAATTAAATTATTATTAATTATTCGAAATTTTACCCGTGATAAAATCGTCGCCATTTTTATTTGACTTTGTTCGTGACACAAGAATCGATCTATCATTTTTATAATTTTTATAATTCTGTTAAATGGCGGCTGAGACTTGTCCCTTCGAGTGCAAAGAGTTAATACGGTGTAGGAGTAAATAAGGATACGTAATTATGTTCGTATTTTGATAATTAATATTAATTTTACTAAAAGCAGCTGTGTATTTCGAGTGAATGCGAGATAAATGTCTGGAAGAAGTCGTGTTTTGACTCGTATGGTAGTTCTAGTGTTAATCTAGCAATGCTCTAAATTAATGACTCACTGGTGCAGCTCGTGTAACACGCTTTGTCTCTTCCTCTATTTCGCGAGATGCATGTGTTTCTCTGAAACGGATCCATACTTACGGGTATAGGGGATGAAACCGTCATCGTCCTCTGGGTCCAAGCAATCTTTCAGAACTTGTTCTACTTCCTGGTCGGTCAGTTTCTCGCCTAACAGAAAATTATATACAACATGTACACGCTGCACTTGTTATCGTACTTTCAACTCATACTGGAACCACCGACCTGTCTGGCTAAATATATTGCACGTAAATATAATACATACCGAGGATCGTTTTCTTCGAGACGATTATACACGTATAATCACATTTTCTGGGCGAATTAAATATAACGAATTAATTTTTTTCAAAATCATAGTGATCGTGTGGATATGATAAAATATTTGCAGGAAGCCATTTTAACTCGGTTGGTAGTTCCAGGGTTGGATTCAGTTTTATCAAGAATTTCGTGTTCAGTAAAAATAAAAAATTATTGCGAAAAGATAGTCATTCGGTTTTAAATAAATCATCATCCTTATCGTTAACTTTATCAGTGGTATTAATAGACATTTTTCTTTGAGCTTCTTAAGCCGTGGAATGCAAGTATGGAAGAAGCTATTCTTGTCTGTCCTTTTATATACAACGAATCTTTTTTTATAGTGATATCTAGGTTAATGAATTGATGATACACTGATGCTCACAGAAAATTCCACGTCATGTATCAATTTCGAAAAGACAAATTGAATAAAAACTAAATTAAAGTAATTAAATAAATAATATAAAATATAGAAATGTAAATATAATAAATTATAAAATAAATAATAAAATATATTAACGTAGTAATATAAAATAAATAAAAACTGAATGACAAAATTAAAACGCCTAATTTTCTCGATATAAAACATTATGCAATTAATATAGAATATAATATAGAAAAATAACGCGAGCAATGCAATAATATAAAATAAATAAAAACTAAATGACAAAATTAAAACGCCTAATTTTCTTGGGGTCATTGAAAATACCCGAATTAAAATATTTGTACTTAGTTTTCCGCGATAAATGTTAGTGGTAAATAGGAGTAATGACAGTACCAAGTGCAAGCAGTGTGTGCGAAAGTTCAGCAGCAAGCATGGTTCCATTTTCCTGTTTGTCGTATAGTTTCAAACATTCGACAAAATCTTCGTAGCATCCTTGTTCCTTGTCCTTTTTGCACTGACTGTAGATCGGCAAGAATTCGTCGAGCTTCATGATCTTCTCGCCCCTTTTTTTCGTTCCTCCAAGCTTCTCAATGGTGGCGTTTGTGGGGTTTAAGTTGAGGGCTCGGAGAACGTTGCCGAGATCGACGGCATCGACGACATTCGTGCCATCGGCATCGTAGATGGAGAAGGCAAATTCTACCTCTGTTTAGTTGAAATGAAAAACGAAAAAGTAACGTATTAATTACTATGCATCGATCGCTGATCACACGAGTCTCTCTTTAAAAATCAAATTAACTCATCTTCCACGAGTTTTGGCTATTCGAAGATAACGAATTTGGGAAAATATCGTACGAAGGATAAGCAAAGAAATTTAAATATCGTTGATGAAATTATTAAATTTTAAAAGAGAAAGTTGGATTCTAAAATTGTTGAATTTTAAAGGAAGAAATGCAACACATTTGCAAAGGGAAAATGTTTACACGACACTAAATATTTGGCGTATCTATTAATTAAAAGCAGAAAATATGCAGATCTTATTTAAACGAAACTAGAAATATTTTTATCCTTTCTATTTTCATTGTTTATTATTACTGTAACTACATATTATGTCAGACGTGATGAAACCTCGTGAACATATAACACGATACTCAGAAGCGCAGTATTACCAAAATAAAATATACAAATGTATATACCACATTTCATCCCAATATTCTGCAAAATTTAATTTTAAAAGAAGAAATGAAAATAGCCTAAAATAATTATTCTTTTGCTTTCCTATTTTATATATCAAATTATAATTTAATAGCCCAAATTATCATTTTATCTATCAAATTATAATTTAATGGCCCAAATTATCGTTTTATATATCAAATTATAATTTAATACTCCAAATTGTAATTTAACACTCCATCTTATTATAGCATACACCAAATTATAATTTAATAGCCTCAATTATCATTTTATTTACCCAATTTTAATTTAAAACTTGAAATTATTCTAGCATATAACAAACTATAATTTCATACCCTAAATTATCATGTTATATATAACAAATTATAATTTAATATTCCAAATTATTATTTTATTTACCAAATTATAATTTAAAACTTGAAATTATTATAGTATACACCAAATTATAATTTAATAGCCCAAAATCATTATATTTACCAAATTATAATTTAATAGCCCAAATTATCATTTCATTTACAAAATTATAATTAAATACCCCAAATTATCTTTTTATATACCAGGGTAATAATTTAATAGCCTGAATTATCATTTTATTTACCAAATTATAATTTAACACTCGAAATTATCATTTTATATACCAAATCACAATTTAATAGCCCAAATCATCATCATATTTACCAAATTATAATTTAATATTCCAAATTATCATTTTATTTACCAAATAATAATTTAGTATAAGTTTCGCATTACGAAGAATACAATCGAATCTATGGAAGCTCGTTCCTCAAATGGAATATCAAAATACCAAAAATCGATTTTTCTCAATGAAGTTCTATCTACGCTGCCCGTCCTTCTTCCTTATCCTCCATATCAGTCTCGTGATTAAAACAATTTGGACGACAAATTTAAACCAGGAACGAGGCACGCGAAATCTGGGTTAATATCAGCTGAAGCGTAGCTCTTCGTGCGTACCTGGTTCAAAAATATTGTTCTATTTTGAGACGCAGCGGCTCCCACCCAGCAACCGATTCAAGAACTTGCTGGTGGAAGTAGTGGGTCAGATTACCCCCGCCTAGCCATATAAGAACACGGCATTAACTATTTTTGAAATGGCGCTTCCCGTTCGGGGTGGTTACACCTCTGTTTTGCCCAATGCTAACCATTACGTAACGATTGTCACGCGGTACATCGAATTACCATTTTACTATTTACCCTTGGCTATATACATACCAATCTCGAACGCGATTGCGAAATAATTCCGACGAATTTTAAAAATATTACGACTCTAGATACCTCAACGTGTCTTTTCCCATTTTTCTTGTTTCCTTTCAAGAAAATTCGGAAGAAAAATTGTTGACATTCTGGTTACTTAAATGCGACGTATTTAAGGATGTACAATCAGTTATAGTATAGGTCATAGTGATAAAGAATGCGACGATGGTACTATACTCTCGAGAAATCGTGTCACGAGCACATTTCTCTTTGATCTTTAAGTTATTCTCTTCGCGACATTTAGGCTTGTCTTCACGAAGAATTTCACCGTGATACTCGCAGGGTGCACTCGATAATTCACTGGTAGCTCTAACGCTACTTCTCTTAGCTATACTCATTGCACAGACGGATTAGACACGATATATACACAAATCAAGTGTTCCCCATGGATTTTACTCACTTTCGACTTCCCTGGCACTGAGGTCTGCCTGTAATAAAAAATGGGATACTTTTAAACACTCGCACTCGCATCGAAATTCATAAAAATCGCGACAAAACGCGGGAAACTTAGAATAAAAACCACCAAAAATCGATTTTACATATATACCATCGAACACCGAAAGGTGTTAAAATTCAAAATTACCAAAGAAAATACACGTAATGCGAAACATATATCATTGTAAATTTACATTAGCACGTTAGAAGAAATGAAAAATGAAATTAAAAAATTATTTTAAGAAAGGAATTCGAGACGACTCTCACCATTGTATATTTGCTCTGGTGTTGCTAGATGTTAATCGAACGGCGCCTGAACCAGAAGTGGTATCCGATGTTAGCATATTTATTCATTTTATTTCTGCAGATGGCGCGTCGGTCGTGAGTCGCGTGGAGGTGCAGTTCGGAGGGCTCGGTTCGAGGGTATCGGCAACGCCGCGGTCCAAAAACAGTTCGTGAGGCAACGGGTTAAGCTGTGCTTCCTGCTACGATAAATGGTTTTCGTCGGCAGCGTTCGTATGTCAGGGCTGGCAGATCTGCAACGCAGGGTATACGCGACAAACAGAAATACACACCGTCGGCCTTCGACGTATACCCATGCCTGGCCTTAACACCGTCCTCACCGACCCCCGTCTACGTCCATAACCTCAACACCCATAACCTACTCCGCCCTAACTCCGCATTAAAGACACTCGTGTGTTATGGAAAAAATGTCATTGTATTATATCAAATTTTTAAGATACATCGTTTCCTCCACGGTGTTCCTGGGAACGCGTGGAATCTCTCACGTCTCATATAACTTCGTGAGAGCTTGGCCTACGTAGACCACGCTGCACGCGTGGCCAGCTGATGACTAAACTAGGGAGTTATTTTTATCAGCTCGACGCGGACAGGCGCGTTTCTCTGTTGAAAAAGAAAAAAGGTAGGTTCACGAGTGGATGCTGGGACATTTAGATGTTGCGCGTTCGAGGAAAGAACTCTGGAGCTCCGAAATCGACGTTCGAATCATTTCTTCCGACGGCCGAACATGCTACGGAATAATTTCCGCGTTCTGCTTAGGATACCCTTCTTCTGGTCACCAGACTGTGCGCCATTGTGCAATTTCTTCTTCGTTTTGTTATTGCGTGTTGAGTCCGGTGAACAGTCTTCCTCGTCGGGAGAAGACGCAATTTCCTCGATGGCCACTTCCTCCAACGAAGCATTCCTCGGTAGGTGTGTCGAGGATGTGACGAAAGGGAACGCGACGCTCTCGTTGTCATTTTCCGGCTGCGAATCGACGTTCTGATCAGTGTCGTCGACGCTTTCGATGCTTCTTATGAATCGTTCTTCTCTTTCTTCCCATATCTCGATCTTGTCTTTACTGACCGTCTCCGACTCGGCGTCCTTCTTCTCGCTCGACTCCGCCATCTTGGATTCTAGTTCCTCGATCATCCGGTAGAGCAGACTGACCGATACCCTGGTCGCTTCGTTCGAATTGTCGGATTCTTTCTCCAGTCTGGTGCACATTGGGTCCGTTGTTGTTTCGATCACCGCGCCGTATGTCACCCTGACCCTGAGTCTCGCGCGTTTCCACGGGGGTGGACGGGTCCGCTTGTGAAACGTCCATGTTGTGCGCGACGTGCTTCACCTGGTAAATGAGCTGGGTGTTAGGTACACAATGCAACTTGTTTTCGTATTTGTGTTTGTATTTATTTTATCCTTCGTAGATTTCATTTTTGCAGTCGCAATTTTTTGTTTGCTGAATGTGATTGTTATTTTTATATATTTGCTTGAATTAGAGAGATGGGGTTGGGTATAGCTAATATAATAAATAATAATAGCTGAATAGTAGATAGATAATAAAAAGATAGATAACAATAGCTAAAATAATAAAATATGGTGTATAAAATGAACATTTTATATATATATTTATTAAATTATTATTTAGAAGCAATAATTGTCAATAAGTAATAATTAATTTTTAATAATTATTTCAATTAACGATAATATTCTGTTAACTTTTTGTTGCTATTATATTTATTTGTAAAATAGTAGAATAATATTATTTCTGTTATTCTATTATTCACTTATAATAATATTACTGATATTATTGTTTTAGAAATGGAATAAATAATGGAATAATATTTTCTTATTATTTCTCTTAACCACTTAAGATCCCTATTTAAAAGCATGACACTTTATAAGAAGCTTTATTGAAGACAATGTTATTACGTAAAAGATATGTCTAAAATAATTAAATATTTAAATGAAAATTATGAAAAAAAGAAAAATATTGAAAAATTTTAATCCCTAATTTTAGGGATGTGTTTCTTTTTCACTAGGGTTGGTCAATGTAATATTACGTATCTGGATGTTACCTAGTTAATTGTTATTTTTATTCGAAGAATAACAAAATAATATTATTTCTATTGTTGTTTAACTATTTTAATTATTTAACTAATATTAAACGTTAATTTATTTAACTAATATTGTTATAATTCTATTGTTGTAATATTATTTCACCTGTTTCTCTAGTTTGGACAGGTGGAACGGCACAGAAGTCGTATCTCCGATTTGCAAATTGCGTAAACCTCGCACCATCTTCTCTATTAGCTCCGTGGTTTTCAGCTCCTCACTGTCCGTGCACAAACGATCTTCCATTTGTTGCTCTGTTCGCGTCGCCTGCGATTGGATATCAGCCGATTCTTGTCGATTATCCAACGTTTGTAATTTCTCTGACGACAGTTATTTTTCGTTCATTGCAATTTCTTCAATCATACTTAAATTACGTACAATCGATCTTAGTGTTACGAAAAGAAACAACCACTGCCGCGATTTCGTTCTGAAAATTCGCAAATCGCGTCGCGAGGGGAACAATGTTCGATGGACGGTGCTTTATCTCGAGAAATACGAGAAAGAAACGTACTCACCGTCATTTGTGATCATCATATCGAAAGCTTCCAGCATTATCTTATCGACTAAGCTTCTCGCAAAAGCTTGGACCATAACTTGAGGCATTGTCAACTCGACAAGGAACTGAAATCGCAGCTGTCGAAAACGATAGTCATATTTCATCATGGCAAATACGCATGCACTTGAATTCCACTAGGTGTTTCTCACTGTCCCCCATAAATTTTATTTTCAATCCTAATCAAAATTTTCGGCAAATTGTTGACGTTAAATTCAAATATGAACTGAATACGAGATTCGCGCAGGGTTATCGACACCCTACAAGTGAACTCGCACAAAATGTCCGCTCGTGTTCCGGAAGATGGCAGAAGATCCTAAATATTTATCTACAAGCTGTCGTCTACTTAGTCCCCAGCAGTTAACTATACGAACCGTGTCACAGTTTCAAATTACCATTCAATAATTAAACCCACGAGTCGGTGTCCATTATCGACCGGCGAACCTAACCTATAAAATTTTCAAATAACCGTTCGTACGACATTAAAATTATCCGCCTCGATTTTCAACTGACCTGGACTATCTCGATGAAATAATCAAAGAATACTACGGAAATAAACGAAGATTTACCAAACCTTCTACGGTATAGTTGATATACGTTTTCTCGCGTAATAAAATTATAAGACTGGTCCACGATGAATGCTTCAAGATGGACGATATTATTAACCACAACGTAAGATATAGATACGAGATTTCTAAAATATTAAATAATCATAACACAACCTATTAATTCCCCAAAAAGTTGAATCTCGTGTTCATCGAAGATGGATCAGAGCAAGTACATAGAGGTTAGGATCTTCGAACCCGTTACTGAAATCCCAACTTCCGACACTCGCGAATATTCCATAAAAACCTTGAGCACGATCCACGAATGCGACAATCTAAAGGCTTCTGGTTCGCATATACGAAATAATACACAGAAAAAAGTACCTCATTCCACGAATCCGAATCCAAACGTCAAAAGCTACTCATCAGCCAAACAGACAGTGGACGTACTTCGCAATCCTGAGAGACCATTCGATATTGACTTATTGCTGAGATACTACGCGTGCAACTCCGACATGGAGAAGTCGATACACAAGGTAATCGCGAAAATGGAGGACCAGGTGTGCAAAGACGTGGATCAGGGACCGTTAATCGAGTTGGGTGCAGTGTGTAGGATCTGCGACTTGCTGAGGGACCCATCTGCCCAGAAGCCTTGCTCGTTCCGATTCCACGAGATTTTGGCCAGGGTGCAATCCCTGATACGTCGTTGCAGCAGAGAGAGATTAGAGCAGGTCCTGTCTAACGACCCTTCCCTCAAGATCTGCCAGCACTGCGGAGTGATCAGCTGCTCGAATTCTCCAAGCGTTCTCGCGGATCCTTGCAGGTCTCCACCTAAAACGTCCTACTTCCTCAGCACGCAGATGTTTCCCGACATTGTCGACAATGGCGACGACGCGAAGACATATAGACAGACGAAGAGAATTAACCCCAGGAGCGAACAAGCCACGAAACACGTCGATAAATACTATAACATCCGGAGAAACGCGAATCGTCCTCTTTACAAGGAACGAGGAGCAAACAATGGGAGAGCTTATGGATCGAGAGAGGTGAGTCTGACTGTGAAACGGGAGAATAATTTCCATATGAATACTCCTCGACGTATCGAGACCATGGTGGCTGAACGAGAGAACGACCACGTGGTACAGGAAATACGTTCTACTCATGGTACACTGACTGGAGAGATGTTGGAGTTAGATGAGACAGGATTGGAGAACCGAATTAAGGATTCTCAGCAGATAAAGCCTTCGGACTTCGAATTGGACCCTAGAGGAACGATTAAGGATCAACGACAGCTGGAGACTACAGATTTAGAGAATAGAGGCAGGATCATCAGTGATAATCTGAATCTTACGAGCAATTTGACACATGATAGACGTTTTAATAGGGTAGACTGCAAAGAAAAGTTCATGGACAACCTTCCTAATAGGAATAATTCTATAATAAGTAATTTTAGACCAACGAACAAGTGGAGAAAGGTCAGCAAGGACCAACTGGGCATGAACGAATGCAAGGAAGAGGTTCTAAGGGACATTCTTTATGAGCAACCTGGGCCACGACTGGACCAGTCGAACCCACGGGACTGCACGTCTTTAAATAGCGAACACGGCGTAGGAAGTAAACAAAATCAATCAACGAACGTCGTTGACGACGCAACGTCGTCTGCAAATGTACTAACGTACTTGGCAGGCCGCCTCAAATCGATAGACAGTGGGAAAAAAGAATTTGTTTCGCAACCAGGTGAAAAAGCGAGTATCCATTCCGGTCACCCTGCCAATAAGCGTAGTTTCGTTTTACATCGGGCTCGAGGTCACGATCCACGCCTGGATTCGGAATTCCTGACACTCGAAAAGCTCGTGCCAGCTGACAAGATCGCGAGGGACAGTCGAAGGGAGATCTTTTACAAAGCTCAGCATCACTCGGAGCACTGCAAGTACGTCCACCCAGTCAGACGTGGCAACCAGTTCAGAAGCTTTACCTGTCTGATGGAAGACGACTCCCTGGAGAACTGTATAGACACCCCTGTCACGTTGGCACAGACCATAGAAAGCAACACTACCGTGGTCAGCTCCTCTTCCGCAGAGAACATGATTCGCGAATGGGTGAAGGCTCCCGGAGCCAGCATCCAGGAAGCCTGCAAGAGCTCGGAAGCTTGGAAGCCTTCTACATCGATCCTGAACGTAGCTCGTAGAAGATTCTGGGCTAAAGAGAAGATTGTCAATTGTCCAAAGGCGTCTAACGAAGTCCAACCTAACCTGACAAGTCCAAGTGGCAGTAAAGTTTCCTCGAAAAATCGAAAATATCGTCATCCGAACAGGCAGACCATATCTAGTATGCTCACAGGAGGCTTTAAACTCTGGCACAGTAAGGATTCGATGGCCAGCAAGTCTAACGAGTCGAAGTCGAAGAAGATGGTGTCTCGAGGCAATGAAAAGCGTTTTGGGAAGCATCTGTTCGAATCCCTGAAGAGCATTAGGTCTGCAAAGTCCAGCAAGTCGAAGGAAACCAGTGAGAAGCCTTTGATGTCTTTTGGCAGTAGTCTGCCAGGTGACGTTAAAGACGTCGCTCGAAGGATCATCTATAATGAGTCTTCCTTGAGGAACACGATGATGGAGAAGGGGAATCATGAGAACATGGACGACGTCTTACTGCTCTATAGGAAGGTGCTCGAGAGCACGGAACAGATGGACTGGCGCAGCTTCCAGCGATTCGTGGAGGACCTGCATCCGGAAAAAAGGGACCTCTGGCGAGATATCTGCAGGGTCATCGACGACAAGGTGAAAAGGATCAACGAGGAGGAGGATGGAAGCGCGGAAATATGTATAGAGATCACCTCTATTCCCTTTCAAGGGGCCAACGAAAGAAGAACGTGCAGCAACGAGATCGTGTTCGAGATGGACATAACACTCGCAGACGTGGAGAGGTATCTGGGTAGGCAGCTGCCTTCCACGGAGAAAGAGCAGCTTGACACCCTTCAGAGGACCAGCGAAGTTATTAAAGTTCGAAATGACGACGTTTGTGATACTCGAGTGGCCTCTAATCAAGCTGAATAAGCGGTCTTGCACGCTTTCAATTTTCCCTGTACGTACTTACGATCAACATCGTCAACCATCTCGCATTTTTATACATTCCTGTATTCTACAATTTTTAAACAATACAATCGGTGCTGTTATAGTACTTATTTCATTGTTTGCAGAAACTGTTGTTCGAAAATGAAGGATATTCAGTTTCTTTGAATTTTGATAAATATTTTTTGACTCCCTCCAAGTCTGTCACACGTTCATACTAATTTTGTGGAACTAGAATATTTTATTAAAGATCGAATTTACTATAGCTAAAAATTATTAAACAATTTGGGGTGTATTCATCAAAATTTTTCAAAACTGAAAGACTTTGGGTTTTCTGAAATTTTTATGGGCATCGTTGGACTTCATCCAAGTCTATCCCACGTTCATACTAATTTTGTGAAATTAGAATATTTTATTAAACATCGAATTTACTATAGTTAGAAATTATTAAATTATTTGGGCTTTATTCATCAAAATTTTTCAAAATTGAAAGACTTTGGGTTTTCTGAAATTTTAATGGGCATCGTTGGACTCCTTCCAAGTCTATCCCACGTTCATACAAATTTTGTAAAACTAGAACTTACTGTAAGATCGAAAGAAATATATACAGGATGTCAAGAAAGTGTCGTATTGCACCAGATGGAAGAATTTCGAATTTCTTCGAATAGTTTCGAACATTTTATTTATGATATCCTGCAGCCATTAAAGAGACGAATTCAACAACTTATAACATAGTGATCTTCCATTAACCTCGAACTTCAAAACGAAAGGAAAATTCTCGTATAGTAATTTTTTCAGTAAAGTACAAAAAAAAGAAGAAAAGAAGAAGATAGAGTCAATTAAAGAATTCAAATGACGTTGCCATGATATTAAAAAAATGAATTCACCTGACATGTCTCACCGAATACAAAATATTTAATTTAATATTTAGAAGCATACTATAGTACATTTGTGTTCGTTCAGTTATTTTTAAATTACGATTATTATAAGTGGAAACAAAAATTAAAATCAGCTGAAGAATTATTCACCATAGAATCCCTCAACGTTAAAGAAAAACCTTTGTTTTACTTTATAATCACTGTAACTTAAAAAAGATTCGTCCCTGAACAGGTTAAATTATCTTTTTGTACACCCGATATACAAAATACCGAGTTATTTCAGGTACCCATCCTCATCACCCCCTATAAATATACTTTTACCCATATTGTTATCCCTCAACCACATATGTGTGGGACGAGTTAACTCGAGTTAACGATTAATGGCATTAAATGGCCATTGTTTCCAGCGAGATCATAAAATCGAATAAAATATTCTCATACTGTTCAAAAATATTATAAATTCGGAATTTCATACTTTCATATTTACCCCGGTCACGACGAGTTAATTCGTCACGATATATAATACGATGCTATACGATGCATCGCACTCGGAATATGATTTTTCCAAGATAGCACCCCGGTTAGGAGGCGTACGATAAGTGTAAGACCCGGGGCGACCTAGAGCCGGTGAGAACGGTGAGGACAGGTGCGAATTCGGTGGAAAGGCTAGATCGGTTGATCGCGAGACGAAAGATTCGGTCGCTGCAAGGTGGGCTAGGTGGGTAAGTGGGTTGGTAGAGGCACGGCGTGGAAAGGGTGGGTCGCCCCTGGTAAAGTAGGGGTGGAACTAGGTAAGTGGGTTGGTAGAGGCACGGCGTGGAAAGGGTGGGTCGCCCCTGGTAAAGTAGGGGTGGTCCAGCGAGCAGATTCCTGGCCTGATCGATGGAACGACCGGCGCATTGGATTTTCCAAGAGTAGCGCGCGCATTCCCATCCTTTCCAACAGCATTACATCCACCGTGTCTTTCAGTTACTCACGATCCTGCCGTGGTGGTGCATCCACCTCTCGGTGAGTGCATAGCTGCTAACGAGAACGATGCAACTGTGTCACTAGGCCGTGTGGCACGTGATCCTGTCCTTGCACGGTGCTGCTCCTCCTCGCATCCGTGTCGAACGATCCTAACCGGGGACAAGATCGCTGGATTTCCAATGGGACGGGTACAGTGCGTGATATACACCTAGTGACGAAATTGTTCTCGTGCACAAGGCCTCACCGACCCTCTACGTAGCTACCTACGCCTACGTAACTTAGGTACGTAGCAACGACTCGATGTCCAAACAGGTGAAAGATAGACCGCCGGGATACTAAGGCGAATTGATTCGTGGGATGACAGGCTCAGCCTGAGTGTGTTTCGCGTAACACCAAAAGACCGGCTGATGTCGCTGAGTGGACGGAACAGCACGAGCTATTCTCAGGTGAGACACGTGGCGTCCTGAGCCTATGGCTGACGGATCGTCACCCATACGTGACAGATTCTTCCCCGTTGCCACTCGCATTTACCAGCTAACCGCATCATTTTAGACGTTTTCACTGCGAACATGCATAAACGTCGGTCCGTCGATGGCAACACACAGGAACAGGCTTTACCAATTCCGGTTCAGCTGTTCCTCTGGCGACAGTTGAGGTACAATTAATCTTATGACAACGAGTAGCGTGTTCCAGAGGATACTGTAGATCGTGGGGGAGTCGTTCATTCGTCGGATAGAATTGCTTGGGAAAAGAATTAGAAATTTATTTTCAACGTAAACAGTGAAGAAACGACCACGAGTTTTGCTAATGGAATTCGAAAATATTTTGAAAATATTTGAAAAATATTTTAATTTTGGCAGTTAATTCGTTCGGCTCGTGAATGGCTCCTGTGTTGCTGCTGAAGTCTGGTGATTGGTAAATAATAGCACAAGTCATACCGAGGTAATAGAAATTCGAAGATGACTTAGGAAGCAATTTGATAAATCATTTTCTGATAGATTTACTTAAACCAGTTGGTGAAATTTTGGAATTATTTCACTTATGGAAAGTCCCTTTTGGGTTAGGTTTAATGTCAGCATGGTGATTGGGCTTTGAGAAATTAATCAAAAATTTATGCCAAAAATTAAATTAAATAAAGTTAATAAAATATTCATTAAATATCCTGAAATTAATATTTACAAATTACTTTTGGATTGTTAGTATAATATTAATGCTAGGCACTTTACCAATCTTCCAGCTTTTACAGTAACATATACGTATATTTTATTCTAATTTATTTTTTTAAATAAATAAATACTACTCTAATTTATTTTTTAAAATAAATAAATACAATTCTAATTTATTTTTTAAAATAAATAAATACTACTCTAATTTATTTTTTAAAATAAATGAATACTACTCTAATTTATTTTTCAAAATAAATAAATACTACTCTGATTTATTTTTATTTCTTAATTAGTATCCATAATGAATTATCGACAGTTGTTGAGTAAAATGTAAAGATTCTGTTTATTTTCCGTGTCGTTACTCTTTTAATATCCATTCGTGATGCATAGTGTACTAGTATGTTATACAGTGTAGCAGAATACAACATGTAATTTGCATATTACAGGCCATTCATTCGTGCGAAACTTGGCAAGCTTCACGAAGCAACCTGCACGGTAAAAATTCATATCTTCACTTTTGTAAATGTCCCTTGAGTTTGCGGAGAAGGATGCGAATGCGGACGAATGCGAGGTGTACGCGTGTTTGCGCGTGTGCGTGACGAGTTTAGGAAATTAATTAGCGCAACGAGACGTTTAGAAATCGCGTCTCGAGGGAATTTCGCGAAGATCCTGCGGATTTTAAATCGAAATCTAAATAAGATCGCTCGTTTTTCCGCGCAGAGTCACGATATCTTCGATATCAAAGATTTAAGTGGGAAAATCTGCAACTCGTAGACACGCTTTTGCTCTGTTAGCGAAGCGGAGGAACGAGACATGTCCTGCCGAAATTCTCGCTTTCGTGGTTGTCCTCGGTGAATTTGTTCTGCTTTCTGTTAGAGGTTTCTGTCTTATTTGTGTATAAGAAGATGAATGTTGTACGTACGTACGTACGTACATTCGTTGTACGAATAAAATTTTCTTTCTTCCTAATTTTGAAATAATTCCACGAAGACGAGGTGCGACTGACAATAAGTCAAAAATACGTATCTTCAAATTCTAATTTCGGGTAATACGAATTTAAATGGTAAATTAATTAACGAGATTTCGATTCGTATAGCACTCTTATTAAAAATTTAATTTAATTTAATTAATTTAAATTACAAATTTACTTTACTACAAATTTGGGTGATTGGAAGATTCATGATTCGTATTCTGCATATTACTTATGGAATATAAAATAAATAGGAATTGAAAATTTTTAATTGGAACTGTGTTGATAATAAATACATAAATTGAACAAATTAAGTCGTATTATAGGTAGCAAAGAAATTTTTTGAAAGATTAGGTTAAATTAAAAATTTAATTTGTTTAAATGGGATTAATAATTGAATTTTCCTTTGAGCTAGAAGACCCTTATGTGATTTTATAGTTGTTATGATCAAATGGTAAATAAATGTGGGAAACGAGGTTATAATTATTTCAAAATATTTCGAATTGAGAAAGGGGTGGAAAATTTTGTCGAGCTTCTTTTGCACTCATGGAATCCGAGCCACGAAAATTACGAATTAATTGCGAGTTATAGAGGGGGAATATAAAGGTGTGAGAATCGAAGTTAACGAAGAAATACTGCAGGATTTCATGCCGTGCAAAATCCTTATCGACCATATCCTGTCAGCCTTTTGTTTTCCAATACCTACCCGACCTGCACTAACAATGTAACCTCCTCCACGCTGCCGCCTCCACGTGTCACCTGCAGTTCTGTCAACACGCGCCAGGCCATCATGTAAGTTCGCTAAGCCTGATACCTGCCTGCTCTCATGCTTGCAAACCTGTATTTGTGCAAGTACTATCTAATTATTCTACTCGATTATAGCGGACTTTTGATCGGTAATATCTTGGTAATCGATCGTCGAATACCATAATCGATTATTGCGTTATTCGAACACTGTGCTCGATATTCGATACGATTAGCTTCGATTATCGTACTCGATATTTGCATCGACTACCCTTCGATTATCGTACTCGATACTTGTATCGACTAACCTTCGGTTACTGTACTCGATATTTGTATCGATTATCCTTCGGTTACTGTACTCCATGTTCTATTCTATATGCGTATTGATTATCTTTAATTACTGTACTCGATATTCGTATCGATTACCTTTAATTACCGTACTCGATATTCGTATCGAGCACCTTCGAGTGTCGTGCTCGATATTCGTATCGACTAGCTTCGATGATCGTGCTCGATATTCGTATCGATTATCTACGATCATCGTACCAGATATTCGATTACCGAGAGACTACTGACTTATGTAAAAGCGAATTTTCATTTCTCCATAGAATTAACGTATTAATAATAATATTCGAATATTATCCATTTTATCGAAATTAGGACGACCCTTTATTGCATGTTTCTTTTTAATACAAACATTTTAATACGAACATTCGCTTATTTTGCAATACCTCACACCTCTTTTTACACTGTACCAATTTTCTCTGTTACATACAATTTTTGTGTAGCTTTGTCGTTCAAGTTTAAACTATGTCTTGTACACGTGATAGCGATGGTAAAAATGGCAATGGATGTTGTTGGAAATATGTACTTGGATATGGACATAGTTTTAAGTTGAAAAATTAATTGGTATATACGACGAGTTGATGAATTGATTGCTTTGTTCTTTATTTTCGACACTTTTTGATAGAAGAGACTGTTACGAGGAGTATTGGGAAATTTGTACATTTTTTGGACATCACAGGTTTCGTGATGCGTAGCTGTTTCTCTAGTACTTGTTTGGTATGTTTTTTTTTTTTTTTCGAAAATCGAGGAGATTTGTGAGCACTAATTTTATTGGTAATACACGTGTATATAGTTCTGTTGATCGTGGGATGCAATAACGTACGATTTTTACTTTGCATCGTAGCTTATCGCAAGTATTCTTTGTTCACTTTGTTCATTTCTATCACTGTTCTGAAATTCTCACTATTCTTCTATGATACTCGTAGAGGGATCAGTTGTTAATCTCGATTTATGTATCTTTTAACGCACACATAGGAGACCAAGGAAGCTTGTACGGTTGGTATTTCAGTAGCACAGAAAATAGTGAACAATTAACTTCTATTATTAAAATTTATTTATCATTGTTATGTTTATTAGCGAATATTATAGTATTATTTATTAAATATTAATGGAATTTTTTGCTATTGAAATTTATTTTTTATTATTTCAGTTTATTATTAATCACTAAAATTTTATATTATTGAAATTTGTTCGACATTATTTCTATTTCTCCGATATTAATAAAACATTGATTAGAATTATTAGTGCAATTTTCTGTTATTAAAATTTATTTTTTATTACAGATTATCAATCAAATTTGTTTCTATTAAAATTTATCTACTATTATTACATTTACTAGTGAATATTACACTATTCAATTTGATATTAATAAAATATTGATTATAATTATTAGTGCAATTTTCTGTTATTAGAATTTACTTTTTATTACCAATCACCAGTAAAATTTCTTTCTATTAAAATTTATCTATTATTATTACAATCACTAGTGAATATTACACTATTAAATTTGAATAAAATACCAATATCAATTACCAATAAAATTTTGTATTATTAAAATTACTTAATCACTATTACATTGTCATATTATAAGCCAAAAGAAAATAGGCAAAAATTTGTCAAATAACATACAAAAGCTACCAAATCATTTTTCAATTGTCCACAATTGCAAGACCCTCGAAATACTATTTTATTGCTATACCCACTGACGGATATATTAAATTTTGTCACCCCTCGAATGCATCTTAAGCGATCCAATTATTTAAAGCCCAAGCCATCAAGCTTACTAAACGTCTTTCAAATGTTCGTTGATAGTCTCTGGAGAAGGTGTTAGTTCAGAATCTTCACAATGATTTAACACCCTCTTTGAGCCTGATATTGGGCACCGTGCCACGATGGCGTTTGATCCAAACCGCTAACGTCCTTCATGCCACAGCCAATCTCCTGCACAATAGGTGAGTTGTCTACTATTATTCTTCCTTTTTGTTACATTCTTTTTTCACTCAGCTAAATTCCATTTCACACGCGCCGTTTTCGTCATTAAGGAAGGATTTTCAAACTCTCGGAGCTATGGAGACGACTCTTCTCTACATCCTTCACTGGATCCTCCTGGACGCTGCTGAAGAATGCGCAGAGACAGATGCTGACCCTGGAAATCCGTTTTATTACCTATTTTCTATACCCACCATGAGTGTAAGCAACTATTATTCGCTATTTCCTAATTTTCTCGTATTTCAAAAATTAATTTTTCTATTTTATAATTAATTCTTTGGTTACACGAAAATGTTTATTAAAATTACACTAAATACGTTTATTAACCCTTTGCACTCGAGAAACACCTCTCAGTCGCCATATAATCAGGTTCTAAAGATGGATGTTAATTAATATATCAAATTTACTATTATCCAACGATGAGTGGAATATCGAAGTAAAATAATTGTACGTCTTAAATTGCATACGATTTCTTATTTACCGTTTTGAAAATATCGTCGACCTTATGGCAGAAAGTCTTTGAATTATTATTTTCTTTTAACGAAAAAATCGCCAAGTACAAAGGGTTAAATTACATTACAACGTGGATCCGTGTTGAATTGAATTCGATAGTACATATCGGTTGATCTATTTTAATTTTAATAAATGGAATATATATTTTGAAGTATATTATGTTATAATAAATAGAATATATAAATTTGTGTTTAATAATTTAATAAAAATAAAATTATTTTATTGGTTATATATAAAATTAGTAAATTATTATTAGTAAATTATTATTTATTAGTAAATTATTTTATTAGTTATATATGTAATTTTAGTAAATGGAATATATACTTTGAAGTATATTATGTTATAGTAAATAAATATATACATTTGTGTTCAATAATTTAATAAAAATAAAATTATTTTATTAGTTATATATGTAATTTTAATAAATGGAATATATACTTTGAAGTACACTAATTTTCTAAAATAAGACTCTGCATTGGCATGGGTCAATTTTTGGTTTGTTTTTCTGAAATAGGACCCTGCATTGACAGGGGCCGGTTTTCAATTTATTTTTCTAAAATTGGCATCCACATTTGTAAAATTGTAATTATTATAAATTATTTTAATAATTTGAGTTTTGTCTTTTCACAGTTGTTTGTTTATCTTTTTGCACCGCTGTGCAATCATCTGAAGGATATAGATTTTAAGGCTAATTTACGGTTGGAGAACGGCCTGAAGATATGGTCGGCTATGTACGAATGTCGTCATCCGGATACACCTTGTTTCACCACGCCATGTCGAATTAAACCGCAAGCTTTATGGAGCCGATCCTTTAAGACTTACAAACAGCATCAGATGTCTGACGACGTGTTTATTGGTGGAAGTAAGTGATTTCATGTCATTTTCTTTGATGATATTTTGAGGCTTTAATTATTATTCTTTTATGTTAATAAACGCGTTCGACGAGTATATTCGTCGGGTGAAAAGATAGAACACGTTTTGCTGTAAAAATCGAAATTTAAGTTAATGCAAGTTAAAAATTCCATTTCTTTTCTATTAAAATAAAGAAATTAAATGGACTTTCTGAATTAAATTTTCTAAATTTTTATTTTTATTTTTATTTTCTATTTTCCTTAGTTACGAGTTATTGTAATTATAATATTAATTTTGAAATATAAAATAAAATAAATTAGATTAATAATATTTGCTATATCGATGAATTTTGCAAGAATAAAATTGTAAAATTGTTATTTGCAGTATTCGTCATTTTGTTAAAATTTGATTCAAATTTACCTGGATTTATTAATTATTTTTTACGAGAAAACTTCTAAAAAATTCGTTCGATTTTCATTATAATAAAGGTTTCTAAAATAAAATTTCAAAGTTGATGAATTCCAAAGAGTTGTATATTTTCAAAAATTTTCTAAATACATAGATTCGTGTTTGTTGATTATTTCTCAGACGTGGAAAGTCCACCAAGTCAATCTGTCAGTGCATTCTCTGACCAAAGTGGAGACAAATCGTTGCCAGCGAAGCAGTTAGAAGATGATGTGAGTATTTAAACATGATCGATTTAAAATGATCGATATTTGAAGAGATAAAAATTATTTTTGAGTCAAGGTGAAATTTGATAACTCGTGTTATTTTCAGAACATATGGGTGTCATCGCCAAAAGATACCGTGTTCCCAGAAACCATCCCTGAGGAGAGCTCTGGCGCCGAGGACGAACACGTAGTGAGTACCTAGAGCAAACTGCTTCTCATTAATTTCACTTTGATCGATAAAATAATAGAATGCACGTGTCAGGTGATCTTCAGGTTACCGTCCCTCAGCGAGTCGGAAAAAGCACTTGACGGGGTAAGAGAAATTAGAATTCCTTTATTTCGATGGTAAAACGCTAATTATCCGGATTTCCAATTAATGGACTCCCAACTGCTCGAATATTAGCTCTCTACGAAAGAATTTTCTTCGAGAATTATTTTGTATGACTTAAAAATTCTAAAATTCTCAAATTTTCAAGTTTTTAAATTCCTAAATTCCAAAATTCCAAAATTCTAAAATCCTATACTTCTAAAATTCTAAAATTTTAATATTCAAAAACTTAGAAATTCTAAAATTTTGTAACTCTAATATTTTAATATTCCAAAATCCCCGAATTTCTAGATTTTGGAACTCTAATATTTTAATATTCCAGAACTTCCGAATTCCTAAATTTTGGAACTCTAATCTTCTAATATTTCGAAATCCTAAAATTCCTAAATCCTAACATTCTAATATTCCAAAGTTCTAAAATTGCAGCACTCCAAATGCCTGGAAACTCCAGAAACTCTTAAACTACAAAACCCAAAATTCTACAAATCTAGAATTCTAAAATTCTAAAATTCTAGAATTCTAAAATCCTTAAATCCTAAAATTCCGAAATACCTAGATATTCTAAAACTATACAATTTTGTATAAATTATTTAAATTACATAATTATATAAAAATAATAAATTTCATACTCCAAACCAACAAAAAGGAATCAGTGTTCGATAATCGTGCACAAATTGAATCTCATTCTTCCCTCTCTCATTATAGACCAAGAACCAGTTCTCTAGCCCCCCGTTGCCATGAACGAAATCCACTATCGTTCCATCGAATCGATAAAAAGTAGGCTTTCCCTGTGCTTTTAGGCTTTCCCTTACCCTCCACACAAGTGCTCAATCGGAGCCAAAGTATACTTCATGCAATCCTGATTGAGATTTCGAGCCATCACCTTCTCAGGTCTCTATCGATTCCCCTACTCGGATATTCGATCATATGAACTCTGATGCCTCATTTTGTGACCCTGTTTCACCTACCACCAAATCTATCATATTTAATATCATTATTCATCAACACTCTTATCCACTTTAAAAATTCTATTATTATCATTAATAACTATCATAAAAATTAAAATTTCCTAGCTATGTATTACCTCATTGAACATATATCTTTTGGATAATCAGCGTTCTACGTCACTGCAAATTTATGATAACGCCACCTGAGTATACGAATTCCATTTTCCTTTTTCAGGGTGAAGCTAGTATCTTTCACGTTGCTATGGGTAGGACAACTGGCTTCTCGAAACTAACTATAGAACAGGTTACAGCGATTTCTGCACTGGACACTTGCAGACAGTATCAGGAGAAGACTATGAGCATAGGGTTAGTCAATTACGTTTACAGGTATATCATAAAAATTCATAGTGATACAATTGCGAATGATTTATTTGTTAGGAGTGGGGAGAAGGAGAAAGAGGATCTGAAAACGGAAAAGGAGTCGCAAGATACGTCGAAAACGAAAGGCTCGATAACGCGAGTTCCTGGAGACTCTGGTGGTATGGGATTGGGGTGCAGTTGTTCCGTTGTCGATGCAGACGTTCGAGCCGCTACTTTTCTCGACGTAGCCGTGCTTAGGTGCCTTTTTGTTCCTCAATGGCAGGAGGAAGGTGTATATTGGGCTCTACAATTTTTATACCATAGGTAATTGCACATGACTGATCTTCTTCCTGTGATAAGCTGAGTCTATAGTATGATTGCAATAAGAATGGTTCAAAATTAGGTTCGATGCTATATATAGTGGTAAAGGATGATGAGAGGAACATTTTTTGTGGAATAAATATATGAGATATCTTGACTGATTTAATAGTTACGAAGCTTTAACGACGTAAAAGTTAGGCTCCCGAGAGCGAGCAACCCGCCACGCACTAGGCGTTAACGAAGTCTTAAATGGAAATTTAAGATCACGTTATTTAAGTTTTAGTGATCGCGTTTTCTTTGGATATATAGGAGAATAACACTGAAAATTACATTATTTGTAACATTTTAATGAGAATTTAATTAATTAATTGAGAATTTTTATCTAACAGTGAAATAATATTTATTATTTAACCTCATATTCAGACTTTTATGTGAAATAAAAATTTAAATACAGATAATAAAAGAAAATTAGAAATAAAAATCTTGTAGAAATTACAAATCTATATTTTTAAAACTTTATTTCTAAAATTTAAATTAAGATTGAATACGTGTTTATTAAAGGAGAAATATCCTTATCGTCATATTTTACCATTTTTTCGATTGATCTTGACTGACCTGTGCTACTGAAGTATCTATATGGGATTATTGCAATTTAAACAATTATCTACAGATTACGCATGATTAACGAAGAAACATCGGTGCAACAGATGCCACGTCGACGTAGTAATTCCTTACCCATACCAAAAATAGAGGTGTCGATTTATCAAAGTCCTGAAAGTAAGAAGAAAGACGTGTCGAAGGATTTTATGGAGGTGCCGGAAGTTCGAGACGTCTCCTTGTTAGCTGGTACGTAGAAATGTGAAATATATTCGGTTTTAAACTTTGAATCAAATGCTCCTACTTCGTGTGCAATAGGCCATGATGGTGATACCAGTCATACGAGGCGAGCCAGCGAGAAGTCGAAGAAGAGAATGAAAATGGCTGACTTGAAAGCTTTCGTCGAGACGAAACTATTATCGAAGTCTGAAAAGGCGCTTGAGAAAATTGGTCAAGACGATTCGAAAATGTTATTCGAACAGGTAAATAATATATTTTTAACTTTTGCTCAATTTGTCTTCGATTATTTTATTATCAGCCATTGCTGGCTTTTTCATCATCGACAGTGCCGTACCTATGCGTAATCTCAGTGCCAATTGCATGGAGCAAACATATAACAGTATACGAAAAAAAAAAGAATATGAATAATAATATAAATGAATATACAAATAATTTTAAAAGCAACTTTGAAAATTAACAATAAATGGAAAATATCTTAAACTTATTAGTGACTCATATGTAATCCATAATCAACTTATAACTGATATTTCAACTTTGGTGCGTAGCTCTTAGCTTGGTATCGTTTCCCAAAAATTATATTTAGGAAAAGGATACCAATTACCAGGTCTCACCACGTGGAGGTGGCTACGCATCGAGACCCGACATGCGCCCTAGTGGCGCAGCCTGCTGGCGCTGTCTGTATCAACGGTACCCTAACCTAACTTGCAGCGAATTAAGTTAAAATGACTCTACTGACACTTTATAATATTTCGTGTCTTACAAGAGGGGTTTCGGTTCGGTATACTGAAACTTTACTGCCGCAACTCTAAGATATTTTCAAGTTCCCATAAAAATAGGAAATGAAATATCAAACACGCGAACTAATAGAAAATCGCGACGCGCCCGAACGAGTTCGCGATTATTCGAAAGACCGACTAGCCTAGGCGATGTACTCCCGTGTACAGAGATAACTTCATACCTCGGCACCCTCCCGATCGGGCCTAGCTCAATTCCAGTCACTGTCGCACTCG